AGAAGGAGGGCAATGAGGAAGTTTCATATGAGCTGCATCTCTGCAGATCGGATTGGATGCAACTACAGACTTATCCTGCTTCTCCTTGTCTCAGAGTCCTTTTCACCTTTGTATACTTCCTTCTTCCCAGATTTCATCGTTACTAGGAAAGTGAGATCTCACTTGGAGTTCTTGCCATGTGTGTGACTAGCAGACATCTGTCCTGCCAGTGTTTTCATCAGCCCATAATTAATTAATACACCATTTTCCCCCTACCTCATCAGTCCCCCCCTGGTTTCCCATAACTTCAGTTTTGATGATAAGAGACTGAAGAGGAGGCACTGGAAATGTAGAAGTATCTTCCCACATCAGCTGGAAATCTGATCTGACTTGTTCTCTAAATATGTATTTACGGTTGATTTTCATATTTTTCTAGAACGAATCATATTGACTGTTATGAAGAAAACACAGAGTGATCTTTCATTTATTGAAGTCCTCCTGTAACTGAAGGTTAATAGCTCCTGTGGCAGTAGATACTCCATAAATCAATGCAAGAAACATGTGGATCAGAATATCACCCCACTGAGGAGCATCCCATCTTACTGCAGCCTATGGAAACTGCAGTGCTGACCTCCATATGCTAGCATCCTTTGGGGCTAGCTACTGATGCACACTAAGGATAAAGGCCCTGGGTAAGCAGCATGTGGGTTCTGGTATAGGCGTTGCCATTCCAGGCTCAGAGCTTGGCTATGAACCAAGACCCAGAGCTGGGATACCAACATATGCAACCAAACAGAAATTATCTTAATGCCATGGGAGTGCATCAAGGTTATTCCCTGGTGTCTTGTATCTAGATGTCAGAGAGCAATCAGCAGCTCTGGCATGATAAATACAGCTCACATAAACCTGCCAGTTCCTTTTGCAGTCTGGATTTCACCGCAGCCCCAAGCTTGGATGCCAGGAAATCTAAGGATATCACCCTGTTTGCAGCCATTTTCCAGGCCTACTTCCCTCCAGCCTATGATAAGAAGTGCACTGTCTGGCCTTGTCAGGAAGATTTTTGCTTCTTGAAGGAAAATGTTAGCTGCAAAGATGCGACGGATTGATGCTCCTTCCTTTTAAGACTGCTTTACCAGAGCCATCCTACTCTTTGAAACATCCACAGGCACCTCAAGCAAATCACGTGTCCCCAACATAATTGTAGTGGGTGTGCACTCCATCTGGATGGAGCATGCAGGCTCACGCAGCCCTCCACAGCCTGCCAGGCTCACAGCAGTGCCGTGCCACAGCCCAGCACACAGGGGTCGTGCCTGCAAGATGCAGAATTTTGGGTGCCCTCCTAAAAACATCTCTCTGACGAGCACGCTTACATGCAGTCACTGCTATTTCTGGAGCAGATAGTGCTTTCCTTACCAGATTGGCTGACCACAAACTGATCATGGTCAAGTGACATCTCGTGTTTTTTAACACTGTTTTTCAGAAGGGAAATGTACTGCAAAGTAAACACGGAGGCTGAGCTCTTCTGAAGGCCCAGCAGAGGCTGCAGCCTTGTTCTCCTCTCTGAACATCCCAAGAGCAGAGATGGAAGAGAGCCTTGTTCCAAACACTTTTTAAGCTTACATCAAATCACCCCTTTCTGTTGCAGATAGTCTACAAATACCTTTAGTAGCATTTTTAAAGATTTGGTACCCAGCAATTGCACTCCTTTCACACCCACTCGACTCTATGCTTTTTTTATTCCCCAGTTTTGTATTTTGGCCCAGAGCCACAGTTTATGCTTTCAGAAATATATTGTTGCAGACATCAAACCACACTTCTGTGGTGAACTGTGAACACTATTTTAATGCTAATTTCTAAACAGATGTGGGGCAAACTCTGGTCTCAGTTGCATAACATGTGTCCATCCCGTTTAGTGAATGCCAGACCAATCCAAACAGTAACAAACCAGGTCCCTAACAAAAAGATCCTCCCAGAAGAGCTCCAGAAGGCTGGCCATTGCCAGAAGGTATTCCTTTAATCCCACCTGTCACATTTTCAGTGTGTTCTCATTATTTTCCTTCTTACAGAAAGTCTTGGAGGATCACGCTGTGTACAGCTATCCATCTATCAGCTAGGTTTGGGATTTGATTGCATTTTCTGGCTGGACACTTTTCTCTAGGAAACTCATCAGATGAGGAATGGTAAGGACCGCAGCACTGTCCTTCTGTCCATCTGAAAGCTGAGAAATTACACAGAGATCATCTCCTCCACCGAGACCAGCTCTCACTGGGTTGATCTGGGGGAAGAGCAAAGGAAAGCATCACCTCCCAGTAGAGGCGATGCTGCTGCAGGATATGGCACACCCAGAGGAGGGACTTTCAAACCACTGTGAGCACTGAGCCCTCCCCCAGCCTGAGTTGGTGCTCAGCATAAAGCAGTGTGCAGACTGACGGCATCAGAGATTCAGCTTTTATCTCTATTACTAGCCTGCAACCACACACTAAAGAACCCACGGCGCGAGCTCTGTTTGAAGGGACGTTTTGCATAGAAAAGGGGTTGAAGGGAAGAGAAACGCAGCAATGCAGCTGGCTTCACATGGGAAAGCAGATCTCTGCTCATCTTCTGCGACATCGAGCCAGCTGCCTCTATGTAGGCTCAGCCATGGCAAACCACATGAGAAGCACATCCATGGCACACAGGGGCAGGTGGTTCTAGCAGAGTGGAGCTGGCATGAGGAAACCAGAGCAAGCCCACACAGATAGGCACATTGTCTAGATTGCCAGGGGCTCCAGTCCTGTTGGCAGTGATGGATACAGCAAAGGTCACATGAGCCACATTAATCTCTTCCTGGTTGAGCACTTTGTCCAGAGAAGAGCAATGAGGCTGGTGAAGGGACTAGGGCACAAATTTTATGGGGAATGGCTGAGGGAACTGGAATTGCTTAGTCTGGAGGTGGCTCAGGGAAGATAGTCTTTATCACTCTCCACAACTCCCTGAAAGGAGGTTGTGGTGGGGTGGGGGTCAGCCTCTTCTCCCAGGTAACTGGCAATAATATGAGAGGTAATGGCCTTAAGTTGTGCCAGGGAAGGTTCAGGTTGCCTATTAGGAAACACGTCTTCTCAGAAAGAAGTAGTGAGACACTGGAACAACTTGTTGTCCAGGGAGCTGGTGGATTTAGTGTCACTGGAGGTGTTCAAGAACTGTGAGGGACACGGCTAGTGGGCATGGTGGTGATGAGTTGGTGGTTGAACTTAGTGGTTGGATCTTAGAGGTTATTTTCCAACCTTATGATTCTATAATTCTGTGATTGTAAACTGCCCTAAGAAGTTCACTACGTAGGTCGTGTAATGACCAAGCTGTGTTCTATGCAAGCTCCTTGGAGTCAGTTCAACCTGCAACTTGAAAATATAGAATTTACAGAAATTTTTTTTCCTTTTTTCTGAGGACAGCCTCAGAAAAAGGAGCAGAAAAAGACATAACAGATATGAATATGGAAATGAAAAACACCGTTATCAGCAGGGCAGAGGAGTGAAGCAAGAATTTCCTCCTGCTATAGCCCCCACTCCTTGTATTGTCCTTGTCCTTCCAACAGCAAACACAGCCACAAAAGGCCAAGCAACCAGAAGCTGGGAGGTTCAGCACCTGTTTGGTGCCCCTCAACCTGCACAGCATTCTCACCCTGCTCTTTGATGCTGATAAAGCACTGAGAGAAATAAAAGATCTTTGAGGTTATCAGACCAATCTCTCCAGGGAAAAGGCTCCATCTCTTGATACCCACTTCAGCCTCTGCCGCATTATACAAGCACCCACTACCACAAAGCAAAGAGCTAGGATCAAGGGCAGCTCTCAGCCAGACTGCCCACCTCTCACGGGAGCAGGGACAGGGAGATGTTCCCTCCAAGCGGCTGCTTCAGCTCCTGAAGTTGTGCAGGAGGCTGGGGAAGGTCGGGGCAGAACTGGAGAGCGGTAGCTTAGTGACGAAAGAGTTATGGGTGCAGAATGGGTTCGGGTTGGTTATCTCACCCTGCTTACCTCACCCCCAAGGCCACCCCAGGTCCGACCCCTTTCTGCCCCCGACGGGTGGTGAGGGGCACCTCGAGGTCTAGAGGTGGAGCCTCCGACTTCAGTCCCCCAGTGCCAGCGCCAGCGCGGAGCGGGGCAGGAGCTCCCCCCAGAAAAGAGAGCGGGTGGCCGCTGCGGGTTTTCCACCTCATCCTCTACGGACCCACAGCGGGGCTGGAGCAGCAGAGCCGGGAGAGACCGGCCACCACCAGCCCCCTCCCCTCCGTTCCCCCCAGCCTTGGGGATGACGTCATGGTGGGGGAAGGGAGGGGAGGGAGGCGGGAGGGGACCCCACACCCCTCCTTTTCCTCCTTTTTTCCCCCTCTTTCCGCAGCGCGGGGGCCGGGCCGTCCAGCCCCGACGGGGCGGCCCGGGGGCGGTTGCCTGTGTATGGGTGGGGGTGTTCTACCGTGCTATCCCCACCCCGGGGGGCGGCTCCTCCGCCTGCGCGTCCCTGTGTCTGCGCGTCCCTCGGTGCGGCCCCCCCCCCCCCCCCCCCCCCCCCCCCCGTCCCTCCCGCCCCGTGGGGACGGTCCCCGCCTGCTCCCCCCTCCTTCGTCGCCGCCCCACGGGACCCCCGGGGGGCCGAGGGAAGCACGGAGCGGGGGGGGGTCCTGGCGACGCGGAGCTTCCTCGGCGATGAACGGGCGGAGGGACGCGGGGAGCCGGGTGCGCGCAGCCCGCGATGCCTATAAATGGCGTTTCTCTTGCGAGGGGCACACGAAGAAAAAAAAAAAAAAAAAAAAACAACGAACCAACATATATATATTAAAAAGGAGGAGGGGAAAAAATAAAATAAAAAAAAAATCCTTCAGTGTCATCCCCCCACGTCAGGGCCGGCCGTGGGCGTGAGGCTGTACTTCCTCCGCCCCCTCCTAATGGAGCGAACCATTCCCAGCTATTCCTCCTCGCCCGCTCCCTGTTTCTCCCTCTTTCTCTCCCTCACCTCCGTCTCCCCCCTTGTGTGCAAAGTCCTCCGCTGCTCGGAACTTGTTGGCAATGCCTATTTTTCAGCTTTCCCCCACGTTCTCCAAAGTAACTATTTAAAGATCTGCAGTCGCAAATGGTTTTACTAAATGTAGGATGGGACTTAAGTTGAACGGCAGATACATTTCTCTGATCCTCGCTGTACAGATAGGTAAGTGGACCGCCAAATTCCCGCTGTGCCCCGAGCCCCGGGCGATGTGTGCGGCGGGGGCTGCCCTGCGTCGAGCTGCAGAGCGGACCCTGCCCCATCCCATCCCACCTCCATCCCATCCCCATCCCATCCCCATCCCATCCCATCCCATCCCATCCCATCCCATCCCATCCCATCCCATTCCCATTCCCATTTCCCATTCCCATTTCCCATCCCCGTTCCCGTCTCCATCCCGTTCCCATCCCGTCTCATCCCATTTCCATTCCATCCCCATTCCTATCCCATTCCATCCCGTTCCCGTTCCCGTTCCCTATCCTCATCTCATTCCCATCCCTTCGAACGGCGTTTTTGCGATTCCTCAATCCTATGCGCCATGGGTCCACAGGAAGGAATTACTTTGCTCGGTCGTTTTCCTAAATCTCTGCATGTTCGTTCCACGTTCGCTTTATTATTATTTTTTTTCCCTTTCTGCTCCTGTCCCCACGAACGACCGCGTTCTCTTTTTGGATCCCCCCCCGTTTCTCCCCCCACACACACACTCCGCAGTCGACAATTTGGGGACTCCAAGTGCTGAGAAATTCCCCCCTCTCCAGGGGGACGGGGAAATAGAAAGGGGCACCAAACGGCTTGCGGGAAATCAGGATGAAAGTTTGGTGATATTATTTTTTGATTGTGGGTTTTTAGGGGGTGGGTTTTTTTGGTGTCATTTTGGTTAGAAAAGGAGGCGGACAGCCGCAGGGCTCCCGCTGAGGGACTCGCAGGCGTCCCCGTTCACGGGGCAGCCTCGGAGCAAAGAGAAGCCAGCGCCTGCCTCGATAGGATGAGTGGAATGGAATAGCGAAGTGATACGGAAGAGTGAAGTGAATATAAAATAAGATCAAATAAGATCAAATAAGATCAAATCTAATAAGATCAAATCAAAAGATCAAACTAAAAAAAACAAAACAGACTTGAATGCGGGGCTTGAACAATATCGCGGGATCCCGCCGCCCCAACGCTGAGTGTTGTGTTCGGAGAGCCGCTCTAAAATACGAGTGGGTCTAAAAACAGGAGAAAAAAAGAGAAATTCTATATATGTCGAGCGACTTAAAATAGGACCGGTTTCCCTCCGCTCCTGTGTGTGGTTTTCTGAGCTCGTTCTTTAGTATTTCGCTTTCTGTCGCTGCCGCTTTTGTGTTGGTTCGCTGTCGGGTTCGCTTAATTCAGCATTTCTTTGCTGGAAGTGCTTGTCCAGTGGCAGCAACTAGGGGCTGGTCCTGCACGGGCAAATTTTAAGGGATATACATGGCGAATGTGTTGAATATGTATATCCCGAGAGCGGTGCAAAGCAGGGCTGCAGTGGGAGGACGGATGCGGTGTCACCGTCCCTTACCGCCCGGCCGGGCGCTGCTAAGAACCCTTGGAAACATTTTCCTGCAAAGGAATTCTGCTCCAATGGGAAATGCTCCGAGGTGCTATTTCGGTTACACAGCGTCTGCGGCATTCTGTGGGTACCGGCAGAAATAATAATAATAATAATAATAATAAATATATAAATATATAAAATAAAGCAGGCGAGAAAAGAGAGGGAGAGAACGAGAAATTGCGTTGAGCATTTCCTCATCGATAGAAGGAAAAATCGAATCAAAACAAAACAAAACACTGCGCTGAAATGTTGACCTCTGGAAGATGCGCTGCAAAGCCCTCTGCTCGCACCATTGTGACGGTGCTGAGCTCTCGCGAAGGCCATTTTCTGTAGTGCAGAGTAAGCAAAGGGGAAGGCGGTATTTGGACGCTATCTTTCGTTTCCCTCGCGTTTTTCGTTTGGAGGTGGATTTTATCTCATTTGCCCTCATTTGATTGAACCGAGAGAGGATTTCATTCGCGAAATAAAATCCTTTCTGTCTTTGTGGATTTGCGCAGCGGCCCGAAATCCCGGAGCTGGGGAAGGTGAACGGAGGGAGGGCATAGAAAGGGAGCCCGGCAGAGGGTGCCCGGGTCGGAGAAGCCCCGGCAGGAGGCAACGACCGCTGAGCAACGGGGGGGGGGGGTCGACGGGGAACGGCGGGGGGCACTGCGGGGCGACCTCTTACGGGAGAATCATTGAATATCCCGCCTTGGGAGGGACCCGTAAGGATCGTCGAGAGAACGCATCCGTTGTTCAAGCATTTGCTTTTTATATATATATACATGCTTTTTTATATATATATATATTATTGTTATCGTAATTATTGCGGTGGTGGATTTGGGGGCGGCTCTGGGGAGCTGTATGCTATGTGCAGGCCGTCCCTGGGCCGGAGGCAGGCTCTCAGCCTGCTCATCCCTCTCCTGGCCCCCCGACACCGGAGGTCTCCGAGCCCTCATCCCCAGCGCAGCCCCTCGGGTGCCATTTCTCCTCTCTCCCTGAGGCACGGGGGTGGGATGGGCGCGAGTTGACGGGCATCGCGCTGTCCTCTCGGCTTTTTTTTTTTACCTGCTCGGGGTCTGGGACACTGCCAAGCCTCCATAATATCGCAAGCAGGGACACGCGGCCCCCACCGAGGCGCGGTGCCCTCCCAGCTGCCCACCCCCTCGTCTCTCCGTGCGGGCACACTCGCTCCTTTATGGGGACCCAGCATCCCATCACCCATTTCTTCGCCGGCGGTTGTTGCTGCTGTGTTGGTGCTTCTTTGCTTCCATTTGTGCTAGCGACCATTGGGGACGGCTCTTCTCGTGCGTCGCGGCTCACACTTGGTGCTATTTCATTGTTTCGGTTTGGGTTGTTTTATTATTATTTTTTTTTAATTGCATATTGTTGCATTACGTATCGTTTGGTTTTATTATGTATCATTTCAGTTCATTTTTGCTATTTCATTCCACTTCTTGCAACCTCTACCCCCCCCCCCCCCCCGGGCCCCTCGCACCACACCAACACCAGCAGCTCGGCCCCTCGCCCGTCCAGAACTGCGCTGCCAACAAAGGAGCGAGCGCGGCCCCGCATCCCCTCCTCTCTTCACTTCCCCTTTCCCCAACCCCCCTCCCCCCCCCCCCCCCCCCCCCCCCCCAAAAAAAAACAGAAACTGGGGGAAAAAAAAATAAATCCATGGTCGCGGCTCTGACCTGTGCCCCTGCCCCGCAGCCCACCTGGTGCAGGCGGTGAGAGCGGCGGGGCGGTGCGATGCGGTCTTTCGGGGCTTCTCGGACTGTTTGCTGCGGCTGGGCGATAACATGGCCAACTACCCGCAGGACCTGGACGACAAGAGAAACCTGCAAACGATCTGCGCGTAGGTCTTTCCTCTCGTATTCGGGCCCTGGTGTGAGATGGGGCTGGGAAGAAGGGGGTTAGTGGGAGGGGAGGCGGCAGGAATAAGGCAGGATCTGGTGTTTGGGGGCAAATCTGGGGACCAGCAAAGTCTGGAGGGAGCTGTCACAACATTTATTTATTTTTTTTTCGGTTTTCCCCTCTTTGAGTCTGGGTGTTTTTTTGTTTGTTTGGTTGTTTGTTTGCTTGTTTGCTTGAGTTAGGTTACATTGATTATTGTAGTTGTTTGGTGTTTTTTTTTAATTTATTCTTATTATTTTATTTATTTATTCATTTATTTATTTATTTTCAGCCCCATCCCCTTGCTTCTATCCTTTATCTTCTACTTTGCACAAAGAGGTGCCATCCCTGCAGCTATGACGCCCTCAGGTCACACGCTCTCTGGCTGAGGAGGCGATTCCTCACAAAACGAAATGCAGTTAAAAACAGAGCTCAGCCCCTATATAAAGCACAGCATTAGCCCTTCCCTTCCCTTCCCTTCCCTTCCCTTCCCTTCCCTTCCCTTCCCTTCC